AAAATAAAACTAAAAGAAATTATTATATTGGATCTGTTATTCGTTTCTATTGTTTGAATAGCAACAACAACAAAGAATAACATTATTTTTATATTCTGTCAATGTAATGTTAATTACTTTTTGCTTTCTTCATTTTTATTTCTCTCGGCTTTTCTTTTTCTTTTTTTTTTTTTTTCTTTTTACATTAAATAATAAAGAAATAAAAATTTCTCTCGTTTTCTCTTTCTTTTTGTCCCTTTCATTCTTACGTCTCTTTACAAGCAAATAGTAAATTCGACTACAACCAACGGTCGTCATAACAAAAAAAAAAGAAAAGAAAGATGGCCTCATTACTCAAATTATTTTTGACACTTGAACCATCACTTCGTTTTTATCTACGTTCACAACGTATTGCTGAAATTCATGAAGCTTTAATATCATCATTACTTGTTTGTCAACCAGAAGATCCAATAGCATGGTTAATTAGTTGTCTTATTGAATTACATACATTACCAACATCAGCAAAAGTTAATCTTAATTGGGATTATTTTATTCCTGAAATTTATCGACCAATTAATCGTCCATATAATATTGAAAGTTCATTAAGTTATGTTTTTGCTGTTTGTGATGATACATTAGAACCAAATGAACGACAAATACGAATAGCTATTGAACATTATAAATATCATATACAACGAAAACTTTTTTCAGCATGGCTTCGTTATCATCTTACACGTTTAGGTCAACAAAGATGGTTAGAAAAACGAGAACAAGCTGCTAATGAATATTATCGTGTACGATTATTAAATATTTATTTTCGACAATGGTCACTATGGGGTTTGTTATTATTTTATATGTCTAAGTTTTGTTTTTTTTTATTTGATTGAAATATACATATATATATTTTTTGTGAATCTATTATAGTTACTCATCGTCTTGCACGACAAAAAGCAGCTGCATGTCATATAAATCATTGTGCTGAAACATATCAATTACGAATTATTCTTAATGAATGGAATATTGTTGCACAACAAGCACGACGTACACGAGATTATTTTGATCGTGTTGAACGAGGTGAAGAAGGTCAACAATTTAATGGTTTTCTTAGTAAGTTTTGATTATAATTTAAGAAATTAATTTCAATTATAAAAATTCAAATGTGTTAAGGTCATGGTGAAGCACGTGATGAATTATCTCTTCTTACACGAGAAGCTGCTGTTCGTGTACTTGCATATTTAGATGTTGATGATTTAGCTCGATGTGCTCAAGTATGTCGAAATTGGAAAATGTTAACACAATCATCTATGCTTTGGTCTAAACTTGATTTACATCGAACAAGTGATGCACTTGATGATCGACTTGCTATGCGTTTTATACAACGAGCTCGACCTTATTTACAACATTTGAATTTAAGACAATGTTCTCGTATTGGTCGTTTAACATTTGTTGGTAATATATATATATATATATATTCCTTTTTTGTATCTTTGAATCTATTTTTTTATTAATTATTCAATAGGTATTAGTAGTTGTAAGAATTTACAAGATTTAAATTTAAGTGAATGTTCAGCAGTTAATGATGAAGCAATTAGAATAATAACAGCTGGTTGTCATATATTACTTTATTTGAATTTATCTCATACTGAAGTGACAGATCAATCATTTCGTAGTCTTGCACGTCATTGTCATTTTCTACAATTTCTTAGTGTAGCTTATTCACGTCAATTTTCTGATAAAGCTTTTCTTCATATAACAAATGGACGTGGATGTCGAAAATTAGCTCATTTAGATATAAGTGGATGTACACAATTAACACCAATTGGATATGATTCTATGGCTGAAGCTTTTCGTGATCTTGAAGTAAATAAAAATTTGAAATTATTAATTTCTAATTTTTCTCTTTTTAAGAATTTAGTAATGGATGATATGACTAATTTATCAGATAGACATATGAATAATTTATGTAAACGTTTGAATAATTTAAAACAAATATCTATGTGGTCATCAGCTCGTCAACTTTCAGGATATGCATTTAAACAAATGAGTTTATTAACACAATTAACTACGATTAAATTTGATTCAAATAAAATGATTACTGATGAAGTAAAAAGATTTTTGTTTTTAATACTTCAGTTAATTCGAAAAAATAAATTTCTTGAAATCAGTATTGATTAAGAATTTTACAAAATAAGCAATTTATTAGGACTTTATCTCTATAGTTAGAAAATCTATTCAATAGATTTTGTATTCCATACGAATATCACAAAAATTAGAATAAGAATCAATTGCGAACATAATTAGCATAATGAATATCATACATTGAAATCTGATCTGAAGGCATTTAGTATTAAATGGAACCATACATCTATTTTTTACGAGTATAGCAATCATATAATATCCTAATAGTGTCAATTTGTATAAAGAAAAATATTTCTTCTAGATCAACAAATCATATAGAAGACTGTACAAAAGTTTCTAGAATGATTAAATTTGATAGAGATCATCATTTTATATGTATAGTTTACATGAACATACTAAAAGAGTTCATGTTCTCAAGTCGTTCTTCTCAAGTTGTAAACATTTTATTGAAATTTTTTTCAATAATAGAAGAAATAATATATATTATATCTTGAATGTTTCAATTCAAACAAATGAGTTTTTTTTGTTAATATATAGAGTACTTAAAAATGAGAAAGCTATATTTTTTTCGCAAACATATAATCTTAAAGGAGAAACATCTATTGAAGATGAAAATTTCTTATCAAAACTTCATATTGAGATTATTTTTTCTAATTATATTGAAAATTCAATAAAATGAAAAGAAAAGTCTAAAAGTACGAAACCTTTGTAGAGTTTTCATACACAAGAATAACTAGTTTTCATAATCCAAAATTTTTATTTGTTTGTAAACATTATATAGTCTGAAGTAGTATCTATCTACTAATTACATTTTGGGATCTACCAAAATTGTCTTCAAACGTTAAAAATCAATAAAAATTTTCATGAAAAACAGGACAGCATAATACATAATAAAACATCGTTCATTCCGACATTTTTCTTTGAAAACTTTTTTTTTTTCTCCCTCAAAATCTGATTTCTTATATGAATAGCATCTTCGTCTTATATGTCGTTCATGTACGGAAATCTATTATTTATCAATGACTGATTGTTCATCATTAACTGATAATTGTATGAAATCAATTGGTTCATTAAAACAATTACGTGTATTAAATATGGCTGATTGTTTATTAATAACTGATACTGGTATAAAAGGTTTAACAGATGGACCATGTACATTACGTTTACGTGAACTTAATTTAACTAATTGTATGCGTATAAGTGATGGTTCAATGACAAATTTATCTCGACGTTGTAAACGTTTAGCTTATTTAAAATTATGTTATTTAGATCAAATATCTGAAAATGGTTTAGAATTAATTGGACAAATAGATCAATTAATATCAATTGATATAACTGGTACACAAACATCAGATACATCATTAAAATCTTTAGGAAATTCTGGTAATTTACGTTATGTAACATTATCATCATGTCGACAAATAACAGATTTAGGTTTAACAAAATTTGCAACATCATGTACTAATCTTGAATATTTAAATTTATCTTTTTGTACACAATTAACTGATAATGCTATACGTTCAATGGCATTTTGTTGTAAATATTTAACAACATTAAATATATGTTCATGTTCATTATTAACTGATATGAGTTTACAATATTTAAGTGGTGTTTGTAAATATTTATATGAAATTGATATATCTTATTGTCAATTAATAACAGATAAAGGTTTAAAATATTTACGACGAAATTCTCATTATCTTAAACGTATTATTCTTATTGAATGTCCAAATATATCACGTACTGCTATTGATAAACTTGTGCTTCAAATACCTTATGTTCAATATCATTATACAAATAAATCATCTGAACTTTCAAAATGAACTAGATCAATAATTTTTTTTGTTTTTTTTTTTTGGACTTTCTATTTTTATTCACAGATGTTCTTTTTCTAATACACGTGTGTATGAAATAAGAAAAGAAAAATACTTTGAAGACAAATATAGTATAAACATGAATGAATAAAATACTGCAAAACATAGTATTAGTATTGACAAATGACATGTAATTTGTTAAGCATTTTGTGCTTTGTTGGTCTTGTTGATGATGAAGTCTATTGCATAGATCCATATATGTATATGTTTACAATCTTTAGGGCATTTTCTAATAGATTTGACATCACTAACTTGATCTCTGTATAGGCGTAATTATAGCGACAGCAGTATTATATATATATTGAATGTCTATGACTCTAGTGACTATCTTCTTTTATCTTATCTAAATAAATAAACATACACATGCGGTAGTGTCTATAATGACGTATCCGACTGTGTTTCCTACGCATTATTGAGTAGTTTATAAACAATAGACGTATTCTAGTAAGATGATTGCGTTGGATAAGAATGTATCGAAAGTCCTTCATCGGGCGAATCAATTTTCCTGATAAATCTCTCTCTCGTTCTGTCTGTTCAACATTTTTCTTTTGTTTTGATATGTGATACTATAGCCGATATAGAGATCAAGCTAAAAAAAAAACATTCTTTTCTCATTCATTCAATCAGTCATAACTATTAAAGGTTAACTTGACTTTTTTCTTTATAATATGTCATAGTTGTAAAAATATACATACAAATTTTCTACATTGTGCTAAGTACTCTATCATCATCTATTGGTATGTTACCATCGATGAACATTTATTTAATCTTGATAAGATATTCATAATCAATATTTTCTTTTTCTTTTTTTTTTCGTGATTCATATGGGAAAAAAATAGATATGTAATTAAAAAACGATTTCTCTAGAAAATGAGAGAAAAAGAACAAACTAATTGCATAGATAATATTTAATCATTTAGCACAAAAAAAAAGCAAAGAATTCGAACGATAGGATAAGTAACTAGCAAAGTCAAACTTTTTGTTTTCTTAAATCTAGACAAACTAATCATGGGTATTCTTACTGGTCGTGCTGAAGGTATGAAATTATTACCAGTTTCTGATCTAGCATTTATTGGTATTTTAACAGATTATGCTAAAGGTTTGTATCATTCTTACATTTATATTCATATGTAAATTAATTTATTTTATATAAAGGTATGACAACAAGATCCTTAACACCAACAATTCATTATACAGTTGAATTTGAGAAATATGAACAAATACGTGGTACACCGATTAATAATGATGAACCACATTTTCATTATATGCAAACAGGTAGTGGTGGTCAGATAACTGATCCAAAAACACATAAATTAGTTGCTGCACCTGAACCAAAACGTTTACAAGTAGGTCAACTATATTTAGCATTACTTAATGAACCACAACAAATTAAACAACTTGTTGAAATTACAGAAGATGATGTGGATGAATTACGACAAGCAGCATTACAAAAGTAACTAATGAATTCAAACTTTATTTTATTTTCTCCTTTTGAAATATGTGTTAACCCTTATATTTCGTATGTACAAGAGTCCTTTTTTTTTTCTTTGGTCGTCGCATTATTTTCTAATAAATAAAACTTGCCCAAAAGAAATAAATTTATTTATTTTTTATTAACAGATGATTTACTGAAATTGATAACAAGCACCAAACACTAATAAAAGATATTTAAAAAGAATTAATAGAAAAATAATATATAACAGAATTGTCCATGTTGCTGAAAAATAATAAATATTAATAGAACTTTCTTGTCTATATTGATTTCTTAATGGAATAAAAATATATTCACATTGAGCTTTTTTACATGAATCACTGGTATTTCGAGCACCTAATGGACATGTAATAAATCGTTTTGGTAAATTAGTATGATGATCTCGATTCATACATATTGCAATTTCTTCAAGTTCACATTTAGAATTACAATTAATAATTGCTGTTTGATTAAGAGCAGTAACTAAATAATTAAGGTTAACCTTTTGACCAACATTACGTTGAATGTACTAAAAGAGAAAAAGATACCTATCATGCTAATATGTAAAAAATGATTATATTTTTTGATGAGTTTTTGTTGTTGTAAATTTGTATTGAAATATGACAAACATAGTTAGTACGACAAAATACTTTTGTATTTACTAATAAGAACTGACGATCTATCAAAAAAGTATCATTTATCATCATTTTGTCATTACTATTTGGTTATTATCTATCGTCAGATATTTTTCTAAAGTATCTATCATTGATCGACATATTTAGAGCTTAAAACTCGAACTAGATCAAATTTCAACATGAGACATATCGATATATCATTATGGAATCATTCTAAAGAAAATATTTTCTATTGATACTTGCAAAATGAATATGTACTGTAATGAGGTAAGTCGAATTACTCTCTAATAAACTTACTCATACAGGATCGTTCATGATGGACATCTAGTATTTAGAGCTTTTTTTTTTAAATAAGAGCTTATTGCCTCATTTATACTATTTTGTGAAACTCACATTATGTTTTTCGAAGAAAAATAAAATCACCGTAAAACAAAAGATGTTGAACAGCGTTAACAACATGACTTATACAGGAACATCCGTACTTGTCTAATCACGTTCTTCACGAAATCTAGTGATTTATAGGCTATTGTATTGATGGCCTCAATGATGATTTCCAAAAAGAGAAATATAGGATTTTATAGTTAACTTGATATGCTCTACAATCTGTAAAAATTTCTTACTAGAAAAAAAACCGATTTTTTAAAAATGAGTCTTAGCTGTCCTTTTTGTCTGGACGTTCTTTGTTGGTAATTTATCTGTCAACGATATAGAACACACTTTTAACTACATTGTTAAAAAGCTTGATATCCGAAAAATTCAAATCTTATCACTGTCTCTCACTATTAAATTATGATGTGACAAGTTTTTATCAGTCAATTTATCCCATAGAAATCATAAAAAATAAAGAATAATATTATTCCAGTTTAATCCTAATCTAATGATATAAAACATATTCGATAAACCAAGAATATATTCATGTCAATTTTTGTAAATCTCTTTGTGTGTTAACACGGTATATAGTTATACAAAATCACATACTTCATAAGTTAAACTTCCTGGTCGTGTTGCCATATCAACTAAATTAAGCATATAAGCTAAATAATATGAAATATTATGTCCAAATATTAATGAACAACATGAACCTATGAAAATATTAATAATATAAATTTTTTTTTTTTTTCTAAATTTATTCTAAAATTATCTACCATGTTTAGTCCATTCATGATTAATAAATAAATTTCTTACACCTAAATATCCTGGTGCTAAGATTTTTAAACGTTCTTGTTCTGGTAAAAGAATATTAGTAGCATTAATAAGACATTCTTGTTTATTTTCTATTGATAAACAATATTCATAATCAACTTGTGTAAAATTTTCTTTGGTTGAATTTATCCATGGACATAAATTTCCATCAATATGACATTTTGACCAATCATTTTTAGTTGATGAACAAAATTGTGGCCAACCTTGATAATTTCCATTTGTTAAAAATGTTGGCCAAAGACCGTGTAATACTAAACGTTCACTACCAGGTTGATTAATATCTGTATATGATGAACAAAAATAACTTAAAAAATCAATTGTTTCATTATATATCGATGGACAATTTGATGGTGGCCAATAAAGATCAAGAATATAATATGAAAATAAATTATCATCAACTCCAGTTAAACCACCATTAAATTCAAATGGTGATTGTTCTTGAGCTGGTGGAGATGATTTACAAAAACTATCACCTTGAAATAAAAACAAAAAAAGATTAATTTTTTTTTTCTCAGAAAAAAAGTATTTCTTGTACCAGTTTTTATTTGACATCGTTTATTTGAATATCCACAGAGACCAATAGTTTTATTAGTAAAATTACATAATGATTCAGTTGTATCATTTAAACACCAAAAATTAGGTCCATCTAAACAATGATGATTTGAAGAACTAAATTGAGTTAAACAATATCCAATACAATAAAATACAATAAATAATCGATAGAATAGTACCATGAAATTTAATTTAAATTAAAATCTATTTCATATATTCATCGTTTCGAACTAAGAAGAAAGAAAGAAACATAGCATTTATATTGTTTTATGACCTCCAAATAGGTCACATATCTTGAAATCAATAGATATCGTTATGAGAACAATAACAGAGAAACAAAATATTTATCATTCATTCATGCATATCATCTTTTTGTCATCAAAAGAAATGACCTACATGTATCAACTCAAAAAATGTTTCTCACTGCATATAGAAATCTTACACCAATCAATATATAAATCCGTATTTTACCATCATTCAAATTCTTTTTCTTCTTTTCCTGATCAAGGGCGACATAAGCTTCACCTACATGAACTGGAGACGTCAAAATGAATGTATTTCAAATGTTCTCATAAATGAAATGCACCCAATGGACTTTGTTAGCGAGTTTGAATATGAATACCGATCTTTTGTGTATCGTAGCTGACATTCACATTCTCCAGAGCGTTTTCTTCCTTAGTTCCGATTCTCATTCCAAGAAACTCAAAGGAGTCGATTTCAGTTCAATTCTAATTTTCTAGAAATTGCCCAATTCTAACTCGGGCACGCACACATCTACAACCTAAACATAGACTTCGGTTCTAGTTTATATATATGAAAAATATTTAATGAAAGGTTAAAATCACCAAAACTCAAAATAAATTCATCTATGCAAAAATAAACGATATATGCGTGGAAAATTTTATCTTGACAAAAAAAATATTGTAACAAAGTTTTCCTTTTATTTATGATAAATACAATTATAAAGATATAATTTATTTTAAAATATATATTCGAGATGAAATGATAAATTTGTCAATAAGATTCGATATAAATACTTGTCGAATTTCATTTGTATGTAATCAAATATTCGGCTAATGCTTGCGCATCATGATATGTAACAAAAATATGATTTCCATCCGTAGTTGAATCAAATCCAAGTGGTCGAGTTTTCATCGAACTATTCCCTACTGTGGTATTTCCTATCAAAACTCTTGCTATAAACATGCATCGTTCTCCGCTTGTATTTAGGCTAGTATATCCATGACTATAAGCTGCATTCGATGAAAAATAAACACCAAAACCATACAAAGTTCCTTTAGGTAAAGAGATGCAAACAATCGAGAAAACTACAAAAAAAAAACAAATATTAAATTTACCATTCTTTCCAGCAAAACTTCTATTAAAACAATCTTCAATAATTAAATTAGCAGCTTGTTCAGGACAACCGTGATATAAACTTTTTTCCGTATTCTTCTTAAGACGTCTTTCAAAATCTTCCTTATGTGCTATATATTGCATATACCATCGTTCATTTTGAATTCGTTCAATTTTAATTATTTGTGTATATTTTTCTTTCATTGTCTGATCAAAATTCGAAACAATGAATCGATATTCATCTGTAGTGATAGTCAATTTGAAACGAATTTTATGTTCTATTGATTTTTCCCATGTTATTGGCAAGTGATAAGTCTTGGGTTCATGAAAACCTATACATATTAATTTATAGTAAGATTCATATATATTGTACATCTGTTTTGAAATGTGATGTTTTTGCTTTGATTCTCATGTAACTAACTACTTCGTTAATTTTCGGTTGCTTTTACCATGTAAAATCGAAATAAGTATTTTATATTAAAGCAAAATATTTAGATTCTCCTCCGTTTTAAGATTAATATCAGACTCGATCTGAACCTAACGGAGGACTGTTGTTTCGAGCTTGGCTTAAGTTTCATTCAGACTTTTTCATCTCAAATCCTTTTCTCTCATTTATATGCATGAAATACTTATTTCTATTAATTAGTAGTGTTTTATAGACTCATATAATGTTTTTTAGAAATAGATTTGGTCATATGAGATATTTATGACTTGTTTCAAATAAGTGGCAATGTAACAATCAATAAGCTATTTCCTGAAATACAATATTATAAATTTAGTGTGATCCAAATTTATCTTGTTTAGCATTATGCCATTTTGCTGCTCATTGAGACTATAGTATGAACTAAATGCATACTACTGAACATTAGGTTATAGACTAGCTATTCATACAAGCAGTGCATTTTTGGCATAAGAACTTGTAATTTTCTCTATCTATCGCTTAATTAATAGAAAGAGATTTTTTTTTGTTTTACCATCTTGTGTTGTTAATACTTGTTTACAAAATTCATTATAAATATTTTTTTGATCAAGTTCTATCACAAATTTTACTGTCCAAGGTAATTTTTTTGTTATAAGATGTTTTTTCATTTCTAGTATCATCGTTTTAACTACAATATCGATTGAACAACCGTGTTTTCCACATCCAATAGCTGGAAGTGCAATCGATGTAAATTTATATGATTTAACATTTTGCACGACAGTAGATATAAGATCAACAAGGGATTGTTCAAGTACTTTTTCATTACTATCAGGTTCCCATTTGACAAAAAATATTTGTTTACAAGGTAAAATTCCTGATGGTGTTGCAATTAATATAGAATTTGGATGAGTTTTTGATTCGAAATCGTATGCTTTTTGAATGTCATTACCAGCTGCCTTAATTATTACTTCTCTTAAGAATGCTGATGATGAACTACCAATAATAACATCCACCTATTAAAGATAAATATCACAAAGAATGAAGTCTGACAAAACAATATGCGTATTTTTCTCAATACTTTTTGCATTGTTATATCTCCCATTACAACTTCGATTGTTCCTTTATCAAATGTTGCACATATTTTTCGTAATTTATTAGATGGCAATATTGACTCTAATAATTGAATTTGCTTTTGGAATTCATCATAGACATCTTTTTTTTCTGGTTGTATTACAAATAAAACCGATATGGAATGTCTTTGTAATTTTCGATAAACTTCTTCAACCATTGTGCGTGCAATGAGACTGACTGAACACTTCAATAGGCCACAACCAATAGCTGGAAATGCGATACTTCGATAGTTTTGTTCTACTGCTTTGTCTAATGCGTCTGAAACAAATTTTTCCATCGATTTACAAAGAATTGATTCATCAGAATTTGTTTTCCATGAAATGAAATAAATTCTTTTTGATAGAAGTTGTCCACCAGCCTTAACAGTAATAATGGAAGCTTCAGGCATTTTACTAAGTTCTAATTTGTATGAAGCCGACACTGAATTCCCACCAGCTTTACAAATACTGTCAAATAAATTTTGTGATGATGAGCATACAACAATAACATCAGTCTGATAAATGAAAAAAAAAAAAGATATTCTTTATGTCACTGATCTATTTTTCCAAAATTTTGATCACCTGTTGTTTTATTAGATCACCTTTGCAAACATTAATTGATGAATGTGAATTTTCAAGATTGTCTGAAATCTACAGTAGAAATAATGATAATAAATTATTTTCATTTCAAAGGAATGATATCTATGAAATATGGACAAGACTATCCAGTAACTGATGAGCTTGTTGTATACTTAGACATTCTTTTAGCAATCACTATATTTCACAATATTTATCATTTAAATGTACATATTTTCAAATATCAAGTTTATAATCTACTTTCTATCATTGATTGATGAAGTATACGATAGTGCTTATAATCTAGATATTTTAATCTTCAAGCAAATGAACTCTTCCTTTTAGAAGAAAATGTCTAGAATTGCAGTTCGATTCTATGTTAAATAACTTTAATTATCAATACATTCGATAGAAATAGTATAGAAGATACTTCAAGATAGATAAATTGTCTTCGGATAAGGGCAATGAGATCATAATATAGTCTCAATAAGCCTTCATCGAGATGATTCATTTCATCAATAACATAACAATTTGTCTCAATTTTGATTAGAAATTTATATACAACCAATCTGAACGATTAACTAATGTTAAAATACAACGGTTAATTAACAATAAAGTTGGTCAGTAGTACATGATGAAATGACAATGATCAGTGCTTTTTTTTTTACATAATTCATACTCTATTGTGTTAAATGCGATGAGCGTTAGACAAAGACAAAATGGTCACCAGAGTTAATTCACAACATGTCCGTTGCTCTTCATTTTTAGGTTAGCTTTACATACTTAGACCATTTTCAACTGGTGAAATGCATTCTTGATCTCAATTTGACCCAAACAAAAACTATATACAAAACTTAGAACTTATAAATCGTTTCAGACGTCAAAATTTTTCACTTAGTTTTGATTTTGATACAAATGGATTCATTGAAATTATTCACACATTACTGTTTGAGGACAATATATCTTATTACTTCTATTTTGAATTAAAATTGAAGGAGTATAGATAGAGTTGAACTCATTTACTCAAGTATTTGTTTTTAAAAACCTCGACAGTAATTTATACGTGATTAGTATGCCTTTCATTACAAGTACAAGATTTACTTCGAAACTATTGTTACATAACTATTCAAAATATCGAAATATGTTTCAAAAGTTGAAGATAAGTACAGTTAATTGTCGCGGAATTGTAAGTCTAACGAATGACAATTGTTGATCCCTTGTTTCACCGATAATTAGAGTGAATAAAGTTGAAACTCTTAAGTTTGTTGACAAATCCCAATGAATTTTATTTTGAAGATAAATAGAACAGAATGCTAATTAATAAAAGATTACTAAAGGAATAGAATCTCTCTTTTTTTACGTTATGAGACTCGTAATGAAAATAAATTCTGCTCAGTACAATTCTATTGTGGAACTCACATATATTTTCGAAGAAAATAGTGAATTTAAGTTTTAAGTAGAATTTTTACGGCTACCGACTTTCCTCAACCCACTCCGTTAGAGAACATAGCAACCAAGGCTCTTCCATCCTCTCTTCCACTATTACAGACTTTAGCAATCAAGAATAACAGGCGGCGGATATTCTAGAGTTTTTTTTTCAAAATTGATCAAAGTATAGTTTTGCAATATAATCAGCATCATCGTTTGTGAGTTTGTTAATATATATAATAGTGCGTAAGATCTACTGTAGATATCGTGGATATGTAAAATAGGCTTATTTGTCGACTAATTCAACGATTATTATAATAAGAACGTTCAATTGAGAAAAAAATAATGAAAAATAATGAGCGAATAGCAACAATGCAAAAAAGATAAGGTACCCGTAGAAAAAATAAAAAATTTCTGTTTAAAATGCAGCTATTACAGAGTTCCTCATTCTGATGATCGATGATTCTGCAAAGCAGCTCTAGTCTACGAGAGATTTTTCGTTTTACGTATTTTGTATTAGTTTAATGAAGCTAAAGAGAATAGATAAGTTCTACATTTATATCCCAAAGGGGTTGCGCTAACAAGCTTTTTCT